GAGCCATGGCTTGATAGATTCTACGTCCAATGCTGCGACAACGAGGCTTCCCGACACGCCCTCCTCAAAGGCGTCGGCAAACATCAGCCTCTCAATTGCCTCATTGCGGCACATTGGACTTGGCACAAGCGACGAAGCCTTGCACATCGACTCGAACGTGTTCCCACCAAGGCCAACATCTCCGACGGGATCAGCCGCTTCGAACACGTCCCAGAGTCTGAGGCATGGACTAAACTCGACTTACCGCTGAACGCTCTGACTAGCAGGGCTGCGAAGATCATAGGAGACATTCACTTTGCTTCCTCTACGGGTTTTTCCGACATACCCGAAATTCACAGATTGCACGATCGGTTGACTGCGATGATAGGTTAACTTACCCTTCGAGTGGCGTTCGCCTGCGATGGGAGGACGCGACCACCCTCGATGGGAACCAGTCGGTCCTCCCAGCAGAAGGAACTCTGATGCTTCCTGTTCGGAAGATCTACATCGATCTGTAAGATCGATTACTTCGATCTGTAAGATCGAAGCGCAGACATAACGCCACCGAAGCGGAAGCAGTTGGAAAACAGATCCGCTCTAGCCAGGGATTCATGGCCTCCGTGTGAGATTTCCGTTGTCGTGTAGCACACACTTGTTTGTGCGAAGTGACAACTTATTATCTCACCTAAACACCGAATCGGTCAGGGGATTGACTCACCGATTCAATTCGATCGATTGCATACTCCGTGGCCATTTTGGCGAAAGCTGTTTCAGCTTGAGCAAAAATTTGTTTCACCCACCCGTCCCGACCCTCTTCTCTTACATTTTCATTTTCCTCTGCTTCCTGTCTGCGAGAACCGCCTGGGAACCAGTCGGTCCTCCCAGCAGAAGGAACTCTGATGCTTCCTGTTCGGAAGATCTACATCGATCTGTAAGATCGATTACTTCGATCTGTAAGATCGAAGCGCAGACATAACGCCACCGAAGCGGAAGCAGTTGGAAAACAGATCCGCTCTAGCCAGGGATTCATGGCCTCCGTGTGAGATTTCCGTTGTCTTCCAGGTATGTCTATCACTACCACTATGGCGGCCTCTACCTGGACATCAAGATGGCCTCAGAGTGGGAGGAAAAAGCAAAGAGCTGGGGCACTGCCCAAAAGGCCTCCCTGGCATCATCTATGGCCAACCACGCCACCCGCCGCTCTTGTGCGCGCTGAACCACGCGTTCAGCAAAGCAATTTTTGACACGGGTCGCCAACCTTGAGTACATGATCTTCTGCAAGGAGCTCTGGAGGCTGTTATCGGCTGATCTGGGGCATGCTCCGGCTGCTGGCTGGAACCAGTCTCGCAGGTTCGGGCCGGTCTACCTGCTTCGGGAAAGGCACTCCACGCAGCTCAAGCAGTCCAGGGAGCTCCAGAACGATGGCCACTACTTCGAGACCCGGTCCGGAAAAAGAGTGGCTTTCACGAGATGGTGGAACTGGCAGAAGGGTTTCCGTGGAGATCCCCGTGCGGTGCAGCGCATGGAGCGCACCCTCATGCAAAGCATGCCACAAATCGTCTCGGAAATCACATTGAAGCCGGATCTCAGCTGCCCCGAGAACTGCGCCGGGGCCACTGCTCACCAATGCGGGGGTTCGAGTCGTCGGGAGACGGTGCTCAGCAGCCTGGAGATGGGCGACTTTGACAAGATCATGGCTGCCATTGACAAAGAACCTCAGTACATTGCATCACAGCAGAGGCCGTCATGCGCAACATCCCCAGAGGCCTCTGCACGCACCCTGACGAGCCAGATTGGCTTTCTTGCCGATATTGCGAACGGCAAGGTCGCCGTCTCAAATTCCCCAACGAGCTCGGAGTGACGCACCACTTCCTCCAAAGCCGGCACAACCAGACTGTGCCCGAGCCTCCCAACCCACCTCAGTCGAGGCCCAAGCGCAGCGACCGCCCACGCCAGCTGACACGCCCGAAACAGCTATACAGCCGCAGCACCCCCTCCTCCGGTACCCGCCCCAGACAGACCACCAAAATGGGTGCCAACGGCAGCGGTCTCTAAAGCCCATCCCGGACTCAGCACGTTTACGCGGGGCCACCGGCCATGTGCTGCCAACGAGGAAGAGGTCGAGGACCAGGCCCGCACTTCCCCAGCAGCTTCGTCCGCTGCCGGAAGAGAAAGAGATGTGCCATCCCCCAAGTGCGATCAGACCATCCAGATCTGTCAATCAGATCAGATGCTGGAATGGGTCCACTCCCTGGCCACGATCTCTATCATGAAGGAACCGGCCATCACAGGAGGTCTGACCGCCTCTGAGCAGGTTATTCTGTGGATGACCAACAGAATCGCGGCCCTTGGCCGTGTCCCGTGGATCTTTGCCCCGATCACAAGCTGGTCGCCACTGACAAAGACGCCTTGATGCTACTGAGGCACAGCTCATGGTCGGGGCCAATGGCCATTTCACGCTCTCCATCGGCACGGACAGCCGGTATTCAGAGCTCAAAGCCACCGCCGTCTACTACGGCATCGTGCACTCCCTCTTCCAGAGGATGTGGGACCACCCCGACATGAATGCTCTGCTGGAAACTGATGACAACTTTGAAATCGTGGCGTCCACTGTCAAGTGCATCTATGACCAGACCAGCCGCAAGAGCGGTGGCATGAACAGAGCCATCTTCTATCAGCCCAAGGACGGCCAAGTGCAACCGAAGCTGCGAATCGAGCACAACAAAGGCGACGCCTCCATCTTCCTGTGGCATCGTCAAAAAGAACAACGGGACAAACGATTGGGCGAGGAGCCGTCTACTCAGATGGACAAGCGCCACAGAGATGGCGAATCATGGCCGGGATCAGACTGGTCTGGCAGCGGCTGGTGGCCGCGTGGATCCGGCTCCAGCTCCAGTGGCAGCCAATCCTGGCGCCAGTGACACTTCGCTCTCTTGGTGCCTGTGGCTGCGGATCTGGATGTGAGCGGAGGCAATGCCCAGCTGCAACACTCTCTTCACACCTTTTCTTCCTGCAACAGCAGGATGATGGCCCTCTTGCACATGAGCCGTCGCCAGCATGTCTGAAAAAAGAGACTGCCCGCAGACACACAGCCTCGGCGTTGCACAAGCTCTGCTGCAATCCAGCATACGCACAGTGCCTGCTTCAGGTCCCAGCTTTTTGCTTCTGCACCGTGGAAGCAGGCTGTCCTATGCACATCAAAACGCCTGACTGCTGCTGTTTACATACATTGTAGGCCGCAGCTCCCACTACTAGCGACTGGATCACTTCTGAGACTTCGCAGACCATAAAGGGTCATCGAGTCAGCTTGACACTCAAGTGAGTGCACATGCAGCAATCGCCAGCAACGTGCTGAGCCCGCTCGCACGGCGTCCAGTTGAGTAGTAGTAGTAGAAGTAGTAGTAGTAGTAGTAGTAGTAGTAGTAGTAGTAGTAGTAGTAGTAGTAGTAGTAGTAGTAGTAGTAGTAGTAGTTAGTGGATAGCGAGACAAGCGTCAACGAGAAAAGCCGTCAACCCAAACGGACAAACGTCACCGTGACGGCGACGTGTGGCCGGACCCACACTGGTCTGGTGGGAACTGGTGGCGACGCAGCTCCGGTTCAGGCTCCAGTGGCAGCCGACAATGGCGCCAGTGACACTGACATCCTTTCCCACGGTGCCAATGGCTGCCAGCACCACTAACCGCGGAGGCTGCCTGCCACACAGTTTCTTTTCTTCCTGCACAAGCAGGCCTGATGGCGTTCTTGCACAACTGCCGACGCCACCATGCCAGTAAAACAAAAACTGTGCCTTTGCAGTGACTACAGTGCTTCCTGCTGCAGCCACGAGTGTTATCACGCTGGCATCATGCAATTGCCTTCCAGGTACCAATCTCTTTACTGCATACCAGGGGCGGAAAGATGCCCACTGCAGCAGAATGGTCGACTGACCAACTGCTCTTCATTCCTTCGGCTGGGAAGCTCAGTGCCTAGCAGCAACAGGATCCTCTATTTGACTTCTCAGACCAATAGGGTCACAGGGTCAGTTTCACGCCACAGTGAGTGCACATGCGGCAATCGCCCGCAACGTGCTGAGCCCGCTCGCACAGCGCAGAATTGAAGATAGTAGTAGTGGTGCTACAGGCGTGCTCCGCTTGTATTTCATGATCGGTTTCATAGCATCATTATTTGTCATTCACCAATGCAGTGGTAACTCATATGCTTCAATGCCTATGGCAACAGATTGTGCTTCTAACGTGGTAGTGTTGCTCCTCGTAGCAACCAACATCGTGCTCTATATTGCAATTGTCCAAGGTGGAAGACGTCATTTGCGACATCCCTGACATGCTTTGGGCGTGCATGCTCGCTTGGTGCGGAGCTTGTTTCGTCAGAACATGTGGGTTTGGGCTTTCGGGCCAACAGTTTAATTCTTGGCTGTCGTTAGACAATTCGCACCTTTAGTTCCACATTCCGCTGAGGCGGGCACACCAAAGTTGAAAGCTTACCGGTTCGACTGTCACCAGGAAGTGGTTTGTAGTCGTAACGTCGCAAGGTCAAGGTTAGAGCGTTTCATTTTATGTGCAGTGCGCACTTTACTGCTATTCCGAAGCTCAAATCTCGGTTGAGTGATAGTGATAGTGATCAAGGCGAGGCTTTGTCGCAATTGTTCCTCTTGGAAAGCTTGTTTTTTGCCCTTTTGTTGGTGACATGGTATAGTGTAGTAGATGTTTTGCATACTTTTTGGGAGATACCAGTTTTAGTGGGGTTGCAGTTTGGGTCGTCCTGAATCATCTTAATCCCAGGCCAAACCCTCACAACAGATGCGAGTGTGATTGTACTGCTGCCGGTTACCTTTTTCACATGCCGCGAGGGGAGCGTTCCAAGGCAGGACCGTGGCCGTGTTGAAGTTTCACGGTTCAGGTATGTCTGCAAGCCCTCGTATGACAACTTGAGCAATACATGCAATCACTGTTTTTGTGTTCTCTGTGCTTCCTCTGCCTCGCTGCCTGAACGTTGTTTCAAGTTTAAAGCGGTGTGCACGCCATGGCTATGGAATGTTTCCATTGCGCTGAGGCAGGGTTGTTGACTGTGGCTGTCTCCTGTCTTGAATTGCACAACAGCACTACATGCGAAAGCAACCTTTCAGCGGAAGCGGTCTCAAAGCCTACATCCGCAATCCCGAGACAGCAAGAACTTAAATCAACCCATCCTTTGTGGAGACGGTCAGGCAGAGTGCATGGACTGTTGTTTACCGCTACGGAAGTTGAACAGTTTCGTCTAGGCAGTCCAAAGTTCGAAGTTAATCTGAGTGCTTTGATACGAAAATCTCAGATCCCCCGTCTGCAACAGCTCAGCCGGAGGCTTTGTCACCCATCCAGAGCGGCTCTACAAAGGCTCCCCACGCCGGATTTCCCTAGCGACCCTAGACCTAGCTGCTGGGTTCTGTTTGGAAGTGCACGTGTTCAGAGGTTCAGGATAAGAGCCGCCGGGCACCGGACTGTTGACCCTGAGCTCGAAGATGCGACCATCACACCCACGAAAAGAAGTCCTGCGTGCCAAAGTCACAGCCCAAATCCCGGCTCCAACTCCTCGACCCCGTTGAAAAGAGCCAACCTGCATTAAACACCAGTCGGCAGGGAGGGCTCCGCCGGAAGCGCTGGGCGGACTTGAACTCTGATGATGAGCAGGCTCCGGAAGAGCTGGGTTGGATGTTTTGGGATTGGCTGGTTTCACGTTTTTGGGTTCCGGAGTTTCAAGTTCAGGCATACGCTTGTAGCACAAGCTGCGGCTTGCCGGCCCCCCGAAGCTTGATCAGAAGATTGTGAAATGTGCCTAGAATCCTCGTTCCTCAGCATTCAGTTCAGTCCCTGAACACGGAAAACGAACCTACAAGTTCAAGACCGCAAAGCCGCTCAACCCACAACCCCTCGACCAGTAAACTGGAAAGCCTACTCTGAAGGGGACACGGAAGCCTGTTGGCACAGGATGCAATCTCGCATTGGGTATCAGCGAAGCAGGTCCACTGCTGTCTGGTTTCGGCGGCGCTTTAGCTATTTAGCTTTCCGGCTTTCCTCAGCTTCTCTTGGCTTCAGCCTTTGGTGCCTCCTGATTAGTGGGGGGTTCGGTGTGAGATCTTTGTTTTTTGGGTACAGCCCGGACATCCAAGTCTTTGAGCTGTGAAAGCTTCCGCGGCGCTGACTCCCTAAAGATACCTCGAGCACCTCGGCCGCCGCAAGCATTGTGGTGCCTTCAATTGGAACGGCACCAGGAGCAAAGTGAAGCGCCAGAGACCTCGGCCCCTGCTGCGTCGCTCGTCGCAGTGACAGAAAGATTGGTCTTTGCAGGGTGGGGTTGAGCTGCCGCCCCCGCCCCCGACACCTTTCGAGTGTAGGAGTGCCGGTTTCGTTTGGAAAGCGTTTGGGCCGCAGTGTTAACGGTGATGGCTAGGACTAGGACCACACAGTTTCAACATGAAGTGACACATCGTGACCGCTCTAACCCTGGATAGGATCCGATGAGGGAAGCTGCAGTTTTTGCCTCGGCTTTAAGATGACCGGAGACAGTAGATATATGTTTGTGTGTGCATGTGTATAACTATACATGAGAAGCTGGTTCCTGTTTCACTACATGTATGTTTTCATCAATGCACCTCGGTCTTCAATGAGAACGCACACATGCATAAGCACCGCAGATTCGCTTGCCGCTTTCCCCAAGCCCGGATCCATGCTTCCAAGCCCCAGACCCCCGACACATCACTACGACTGCAACCTCAACACACCAGGTGCAGAGCATCAACAATCTTAAACATGTAGGTAGCCAAAAAATGGCCAAGGTGTTCGCTCTTGCAGTGGGATCCCGTGGGCATCTCGCAGCAGCCCTCCATCTCGGTTGATTCCCAACGGCTTCTGGGTCCCATTACTTGTCTCGGATGAAGGAACGGGGCCTGTCCAGCAAGGCTTGCAGTCTTCTGGAGCAGGTGCTCCATTGGCACCGACATCCATGAAACTTGAATGCCCAAATCAAGAAGCTCTATGATGCTGTTTCACCGGTTGGTCTGATTGAGGTTGAGGCACGAAGTCCGCGCGTTTGTTGGGAGCATGAATGAATCCCCCACTCTTCTGAGACCTGAGGGTCTCAGACACCGGGAAAGATGGCGGAGACTGCCATGATGCTCCAGGCAAGGCCTTTAAAAAGGCTTTAGGCATTTCTTTGGATCTGAAGTTTAGGACTCGCCTTGGCATTTTCACTGCCGTGTTTGGAAGTCGAGTTTGATTTGGTACGTAGGCCGTGTGCCAGGAAGCACGCGAACAAATAATGGGAAGCCTCCCACGGGTCTTTATTATTTTTCTTTTCGCGCGCCCCGTCCCGGCCAGTATTACTATTTTTTCCTTCTCTTCTTTTAACAGAACACGAAAATAATAATAATGCTCCTGTGGGGGGCAGGTCCCTTCCCTTCCTTGCCCGATCCCTAAACATAATGCATACTACTTTGGGGGGGGTACTCCCCCCTCCCCTCCCCTATGGGTGGGTCCCTTCCCTCCCTTGCCCGATCCCTAAACATAATGCATGTTACTTTTGGGCAGTACAATTGCAGCAACACAAATTCCCATTCCTCTTCAGGCACCCCCCCACCCTCCCCTCTCCTTTTCCACCCTCCCCTCCCTCTCTCCTCTCCACCCGCCCCTCCCCCGCATCCCCCTCTTCACCCTTGCTCCCATCCCGCTTTTCTCCGCGCCCTCCCCACTCCCCACCCCCGCTCTTCCTCCCCTACCCTCAGGCCTCCCCGCTCCCCCCTCCCCCCTGCAATTTCTAGGCACTGTGCGTCCACTCCCCTTCCAATTCTGCCGCCCACACGCCTTGCACGCAGTGCCTACAGTTTCTAGGCAGCAGTATTGCATTGCATTGCTCTCGTCTCACCGATCCGCGATGATGGACGAAAGGCAAGTTTCACCTTAGGCAAAACTCGGCAGCTCACATTCCGAGGCACCTCAGAATGAGGCTGCGTCCTGCTGTTGAGGACCCTTATAACACAAACTCCAAAAACCTCTGGAAGCAGCGACTCCACACTGAACACGACTCGTCCGCCGTGTTCTCATTCTCTTGTTCGAAAGAGTTAGTCCATGGAATTGAGATCTAGCACCTCCCAGCTGCCAGCATTTCCGGCGGCTCTCGCAACCATCTCTGCACTCGAAGTGACCGCAGTCCCCGAATCCACTGACGGGCCCTGCATGCCAGTAGAAGAGGCGCTGATCCTTGCTGCCAATCGCGATCTGCGGGTATGACAGCGAATCGAGTGCATCTGCCCACCGCTCTGCCAGCACGTACTGCAGCAAGTAGTGTGTCCTTGCCCAACCATTGCCGAGCAGCCTGCAGTGAGACAGACCTTGATGGCACTTCTGTCTATTCCAAGTGCTCGAGTCTGACAGCGCTTTGTGTGGCCTCCTCGTCCACACTGAGAGCAGCAATGCAAGTGGGTTCCGCTGTATGTCCATCGATTGCAGCCCTGAGTAAGACAAACGCGGCTTTGCCCAGACCGTTCGGTATGGTTCTTAGGCGGGTCCCTGTGCCGCCTTCCATTGACCTCGCAACGATCGCTGTGGCTTCCGCGAGTCACATGCACTGTCCTCCCAGCGGCTTGCGTGGCACCCTGCGGTGCCTGGTGGTCGCGCTCAGTGGCGATTCGTCCGTCCAAAGCTCCTGCTGCAGGTTGGGTGATGACAAGGGTTGCAATGGGTGTGGGAATCCAGGGGGAGCGTAAACCCTCGGCAGCAGCTACCTGCAGTGGTAAGCAGGCTACAGCCCCTACCCTATCAGCACAATCCCGGAAAGACAACCCTATTGCTCCGTCCAGACTACATGTGGTCGATGCGTGCAAATGCAGAGGCGCCTTTGTGAAGGTCCTCGGGCCGTTCTTCCATGTGCAGACGGGCAACCTTGTTGCACATTGAGCAAAGCAAGTTAGCATGCGTGGGCGTCGACAGCAGGCGTGCGCAGTCGGCATTAACTGATGCTGCTTGGCGAAGCCCATGCAGGCCATGCAATGCAACTGCTATGCAACTGCTATGGAAAGACCTGGCTGTTTTTCCGGATGCAACAGCACGGCGACCCCATCATTTCGCCTTGTAAATGGCCCTTGTTAGTCGGCCAGGCTGGCTCCGACCCAGGCTGCAGTGTTATGCTGCATTAGTGCCCGGAGGTAAGAAGTGTGCATCTGCAAACCTCCTAGACCTCCTAGACCCCCCAAGACCCCTAAACCAGTCACAGCCATACCTCAGTTCAATCAGTGTGTGAGACGTCTGATTGAGGAGGCACGAACCCCAGATGCTCAAGCGTGTCCCGCATGGTGCTGCTCATAAGCGGTGCGCGGCGCACTGCATAGGCCAAGAGAATGACCCTGGAGCCACCAGACCAGGCACAGGTCGCGTGTAGAGAGCTGCGACCATTAAAGAGCACTGCCGAGCCATTTGTAGCATGTACATTGCCTGCAACAAGGCGACCTTCGTATTCCTCGTAGTGGCACCCCTCCATCTCCTCTACCCAGATTCCGCCATCCAGGTGATGGCTGAGACCCACAAGCAAGGTCAAGCCATCCATGTTGCCACGATCGACATGTGCACCAGTCCTATTGTCCCAGCTCACTGCTAGACTGGTCCAGAGGTGGTGCGGCCAGATTGTGAGCACAAACTTGTTGAGGAGACGGCAAAGATTTTCGTGGTGCTTTGTCTCTTTGCTTAGCCCAAGGATTCCACCTGTCCCATACAGTCCCAGGGTAAGAAGCTTGCCATCAGCTATGGGTCGCACGTCCTCCGAGATCTCCAGCGCTTGAACAGCGGACCTTGCCAAAGGCCATATGAGCCCGTGGCGCTCGTTCAGCGCCAGCCAGGCAAGGCGTTCAGCAGTGCACATGTTGACAGGGGAGCACCCAATCGGCGGTGGCATATGTATGTAGTCCAGCGCTTGCACCATTGGGGTGAGCGCTTCCGCATAGTGAAGGAAGAGGCATCTTTCCATTTCAGGCAGGCGTGCCAGAGCAAAAGCTACAATGTCATTCGCTGCGGCAAGTGTGAGATGCGGGGGTAGTGCTTCCCCAGCCGAGTCCCTCATGAGCTTTCGCAGTTGTGTCAGAAGCAGGCGTTCCTCCAAGGCAGGTGTAGCGATATGCGAAGGCATGGGCACTGCTAGAGGCTTGTGTGATGCCATCTCGAAAGGGAGAGTCAACACTATTCTCCCCGAGGTGCATACTTACCAGAGAAGAAAGGTGAGCAAAGATTACATGAAGGACAAACTTGTACTGCATGCCGGAATCCCAAGTGCAGTCGCCTAACTACGCCAGTGAGGCTCGAGCATCTCAGGACGAGCATATGCAGGCATCTCCCAGTGCATGCGCGCACTGCTGCGGAGACAGTCTGAGTGCGAGGCAACGGTGCACAGTCAATGGACTGGCACTGGCCGGTGAGCTGCTGAGCCCAGAAGCGCTATACTCATGTGCTGTGTGGATGCTGCAGAATGAAACTGTGTCGCAAACTGTGAAAAGAACAAATTCACTGGACCATGCATCAAGCCTGCGAGACTACTTTTTGCAGACCCCGTAGGCTTCGCTGAAAGTTCAGAGCAAGATGGAACGGACAACACCTACCAGGTAGGCGTTGCATCGGATGGTTTGAACGTCCGCTGATTTCGCCAGACGCGGTGGTCGTCCGTCATCACACACCCAATACCGGAAGTTAGTGTCAGAGGGTCCTAGAGTCGGATCCGTAGGAACCGCAATGGCAGTACGGTAGTGACCTCTATCCACGGTTTGTCCTAAGTGATAGACAACGAAGGCGACCCGAAACGCTTCATGGCGCAGCAGGATATCATCCCCCGCCCCTTCACTGCCAGCGTCAGCGAAGACCGGTATGGCCACCGTGGCGCCTGGTGCGATGTGAATGGCTCTGCTATTTTTGCGAGCGGTGGTATCAAAGCCATAACGAACAAGGCGGAACACTATGACTCCGCTGTGTTTGACAATGGCATGTGTGGCATACTGGACGGTCCAGCTTGCAATGAGCTCCTCAAATGACGCGCCTGTGAGGTGCAAGTTGATTGGCACATAGAGTGGACCTGATTGTGCAACCACATGGGGATTACTGAGCCTTGCCTCCCAAGTGCCTTGAAAGGCTTGAGGCCCCAGCATGTTCAACATGTGTCCCCAAAATTCCCCTGCATCATGTTGCTGCAATGGGTGGGGCCATGCTCTTAAGATGGGTCTCCAGGCAAGACTGTCAAGTACATGGGCAGAGGCTGCAGAGCGGAGCATTGACATTCCGGCCTTTGCAGCTGCATAGCACTGCTCTTCGGCAGACGTCAGCTCCCCAACCCAGTAAAGAGCCTGAATGCAAGCGTGGCAATAGCAGTAATTGCACGTGTTGCGTAGGCGGGCCAATGGTAACCTAAGTCTCGAACGCAGCTGCAACTGAACCGTTCCCGGTGCAGCAGGCCCAGTTGATGAGCATGGACCCGTAGAGTCCGCTACTTCCTGGGTTTCCGCCCCCAGTCGCAGAAGCTTGTGGCCAGGTAGTTCGTCTCCACATACTTCGCCATCGGTTGGCGCGCCAATCTTTCCGGGCGCACTCGCATTCCCAGAAGCTTGCATGCCGCACAGCCGGTCAGCAGCTGAAAGCCCTGATGACATGCGTTCGCCGCTGGGCTCCGAAGGCCGATGTGGAGGAGAAAGGGCAACACCTCGTCGGTGTACTCGTCCTCCATGTTCTTGGTGCTCTTGAAGTTCAAGCACACTCCGTCCGTGCCCAGGTTCTGCAGCAGAGTTTCCAGAGTGGCCTGGACCTTGGTCGTGGCCACGGGAGGTTGTGTTGACAGTACCTGCTTCTTTTGTTTGGGATCCCATACGTGGTAGTTCCAAACTGGATCCAGTCCTGTGCTCCCCTCCGCCATCCAGCCCACTGTGGTAGCCTTCTCGATCTTGGTGGAGTCCCGCATGAACTGGCTCAAGCGCTCCTGCAGTTCCTGGACCACCGCTAGTACCAAGATGATTCTCAGTGGGCTGTTGACCGCCCCCTCCTCGAACTTCTTGCCCCAGGATTCCGCCACCTCCTTGAGCCTCGGCAGGTAGGATTTCTCGTGGGCCACCGGAGTGTCGAAGAAGACCAGGAAGCCCGTCTCGGATCGTAGTCGTCC